GTGACATGTGGCAAAAGGTGTGTGAGAATGAATATCTTCACAGTGCTTGAGATGTACTTGAATGGTTCTCGTTCATATCTTTTCCTACATTTAACCACAATTATCTATCTGGACTAAATTGTGCAATATATTTTGATAAGCATTCAAAACCTAGATCTGTCACCAGAGCCTCCATGCCTTTGGCACACTGGAAAAAGCAAGCAAACTTCCAGTAAATGAGTTCAGCAAGATAAAGCTTGGATAAATTCCTATAAATGACAAATCACTATAGCTGTCCTAAAGTGGTCTTGCCAGAATATAGTTGTCCCCTTGACAACAGCAAAGGAAAAAAGGCCACAGTGGAGACCGATTCACAAGACCTTGCTGCATTTCCTTATTTATCATGCATTGTTTTCTATGCCCAAGTCACGTTGGCTCAACGGAAAGACAAAGGGACAGGAAAGCCCACCTGCACAAGTCAAAACCAGCAGCAAATTTCGAGCCCTTCGAGGGCGTAAAGGCATGCTCTGACAGCTTCTTGAACCTCAGCACTGTTTTCAGTTCGCCTGGCATGGTGAAAGCCTTGAGGAGAGCCTGGGTTTGGAGGATGGAGGTGAAGGAGCGTCGACCTGCGAAAGACTGAGGACTTCAATTATTGGCGCCAAAAGGACGTCTGTTCCCTCTCCGGCGCCCTCTCGCGCTACAAACATTTATCGAATTTATGAATAGATGCGAAAAAAACACTTATAATTTATCTTTCATTTTCAACAGCGATGACTTCCTTGAAGGTGTTGAAACATTTTATACCCAGTATCAACTATTATTCCATCATGTGAGCATCATGACTATTATCAACACTAATATGAATAGTTATGATATCTTGATCATCGAATCTTTCACCAGACATAAATGGGGACTTAACAAGAACATATAGAGAATAAAATAATGATATGAAATTGGAAGTTATTACTTACTTTAATAACAAATGTAGCAGATGACGAGTGCATTCCCTTGTCAAACTCCGAACACATGGGCAGAGGCAAGAGATGAAGTTGCCAGCGAGTAGATAACTCACCAGCCTAAGACTACCTCTTTTTTGCCTGTGTTCAACTCCCATGTCTTCATTTGCTACCAACTACGGCCGTACCCTTAGTCCATTGTCATGGTAACGGTCTTCGTATAGATGCGACCGTCAAAACATAAAACTGGCAATGACGATGTCGTATCCCTTGTCACCTTTTCAACGCGCCCGCGATTGCCCAGAGTGCGAACTTCCAGCCTATGCGATTTGCCGCACTTGTAATTTGTTAGTATGCAGTGACGAAGATACAGGCAAGTTTATATACAATATTTGTTATATATATATATATATATATATATATATATATATATATATATATATATATATATATATATATATATTCAAAGTAATATTTATTTATTAATTGAACATTTTCTGACGCGTCAACATCTAAAGCCCCCCATTCACGCTACGTAAAATAGCTACGGTTCAAGTATGGTTCAGTAAAACTGTGCAGTTAATGTAGCGTGAGTGAGGCTTTTTTTTGGTTTGCGCAGTTGGACGGAACCATAACATAACAATATCCAACGTGTTTGATATTTTCGCGGCTTGTGGCTGTACCATAACGCAGACCATAACCGTGTGTGTGTGTTTTAACCCATTCACGCCGGGTGTCCCGTATACGTGACGGGCTCACTGCGAGTTTACTTGTTTGATTGTTTACAAACATAGATGGCTTCACTTGCACTTGTACTGCCTGTCTCGTCTGTTTACCCTTTTCTTTAATTTACGAAATTATTTTGCGTTATCTTATTTTGCTGTTACTAATGTTTATAACATTATAGTAATTATAAAGTTTATAATGAAAATAACCATCGATATTCATAGCACTAGTAAAAATACAGTTTCCCGCCAAATGAAATCAGGTAAAGCAGAGCCATCTAGTGTAGAGAAATTTCATTAAAAAATATAAAAAATGAGCACAGCATTTTCCCCATTTTTTGTTCATTTTTACCCGGCGCGAATGGGTTAAGCCTCTCATGGGGTGAAATTGCTTTCCGCATGACGGTATCTTGTCTTTTAATTAATGGAGTCAATAGTGATAACAATTCTGAGTAAGTTTGCTCATCCATTCTCAAGTAATTGAAATAATCAACAGGTTCCAAACGAAGTGAATGGGGGGCTTAAGATCATTGGCAGCGTATTCAAAATAGAGTGGGGCTTGGTTGCAAAGCCCTCGGATAAAAACTTTCTGTTTCCCAAGGCAATGTTTGTGGATTTGCAGAATGGTCAATGGTCAAAGCAAACAAATGTGCTAGACATCAAAGGTCAAAGTAGTACAAAGTATAGTGGCGAAACGGGTAAAAATGAGTTAACGATTAGTGTCATCGGCCAGAAGTAGTGACACTCTAGATATGCTATATTTGGTGCATTAGTCGATAAAATGTATCCCTTGGTTACTAACGATGATATGGAAATCTAAGGAAATAAAACTACAAA